ATCGTTCTATTTCTAATGGAATGATAAAACTTAAAAACCTGAGATATGAAATGCGACATAGTCATGGAATAATTTAGGTGAAAGGAACCTTTGTGCTATCCAGCATCCTAATCTTTTCCTATGTCTAGTTCATCCTCCAGATCCATGCAAAGCCATCTTCAAAGTTAGGCAAGGTTGCTCAGGGCCTTTCCCAGCTAAGGTTTGAAATTCTCTAATGGCAGAGACTGAACAACTCTCTGGGCAAGTCAATAGAGTGCTTACTCATTCTGGAAGAGTGTTTCCCTTTATCCCTTCGTAATTTCTCTTGTTGCAACTTTTGACTATCGCATCTTGTCCTTTTGTTGTGCTTTCTGTCCGGCCCTGTCTTCTATAATGCTGTTTAGGTAGTGGAGGATGGTAGTGGAAATAGATCTTCCCTAAACCTCTTCTACAAGCTGAATAAATTGAGTTCCATCAGCTTTTCTTCAAGTTGTGTGCTCCAGACTGCTGATTGATTAAGTTTTTTAGGGTCCATTTAACTGAATTGCCTCCAGGCTGTTGATTCAGTTGTATTTAGAGCCCCAAACTGTACCCAGTTTTCCAGGTGGAGCCCCACATGTGTTGAATAGAGGGGGATAATTGTTGCCTTTGATCTGCAGGTTGTGCTGACCCTAATACTACCCTATGTGTTGTTAACTGTCTTGGCTGCACCAGGACCTTTTCTGCACAGCTTATACTCCACCACTCAGTCTCCAGTACTGGTACAGGACTTTGAATTTGTCTTTGTTGAACTTTGTGAGAGAGTCCACAAGACTGTATAAATAAGATGGGTTTTTTGTCTGAGGTGAGTGTCTGTATCCCCCTCAGTCACAATCATTTTATGGTATGTAGGAACAAAGGGAAACAGTGCTTTTTTTTTACCTGGCTATGTGTCTGTATCTTGCTTTTTCATGCATTTGTAGACATAGCGCCCCCAGTCCCTTAGTATCTTCCCTCTGAGTGAAATGGTGAGGGTTTTTGAGTGTGCAAGCCCAATGTCCTGTGCTGCATTAGGGACAGTGTTGCCAACAGGTCAAGGGGGGGATCCTTGCCTTCAGCACCAGTGAGACCATAGTCAGAGTGCTGTGTCCAGTGCTGAGCTCCCCTGTATGAGAAAAAAACGGATCTACTAGAGTGGGTCTGGCAAAGGGCCACTAAGATTTTAAAGGGATTGGAGCATCTTTCATATGAGGAGAGGCTGAGAGATCTGGGATTGTTCAGCCTGGAGAAGACTTACATTTTATCCATGTTTATAAACACCTGATATGAGGCAGTAAAGAAGGCAGAGATGGACTATTCTCAGCTCTATCCAGTGGAAGGACATGAGTCAGTGGGTACAAATTGAAATACAGAAAATTCTATTTAAACATAAGAAAAAAACCTTTTTACTGTGAAGGTGATCTTATACTGGCATAGGTTGCCCAGAGAGGTTGTGGAGTCTCTATCCTTGGACATACTCAAAACCTGACGGGCAATCTACTGTAACTGATCCTGCTTATAGGCAGGAAGGTGGAACTGGACCATCTCCTGAGGTTGCTTCCAACCTCAAGTATTCTATGATTCTTGCCTGTTCTCCTTAGCCATTAATTTTATTTTCCTCTGAATGGCTTTTCCGAAGTCAAGTATATCCTCCTGTTGTGTTGACTGCCTTTGCAGTTTCAAGAAGGATCAGAAAATGATCTGTTTATGAAGATGTCAAGCCAGAGGTTTACCAGGATGGGTATTAGTGCCTCTAAATGAACTCTTTTGACAAGTTGTCCTCTGAGATTAGTTATTTTGAGTTTGCGCCTTTCCATTTAGATGATAACTTTGGCAGCAGAAAGTAAACTTTGTTAGGCTGCATGTCCCTGTGTTCTTTGTTCTGTGTCTTCCATGTATATGGAAGTGTAGGTCCTACATGATTGAAGATCCTCCTACTCTCCTTCAAGCTTGTCCTAATCTGAGGATTTAAAGAACTTCAGTAACCTTTCTTTTCCTGCCTGGTGATTAAGGAGTCTCATAGGACAATTTGCGACAAGAATCTGCATAGGCTGGGAGATATTTTCATGGATATCTTTGTGTATGTCTGTCTGATTCTGCTGGACATAGCATGAAGGACTACCAGAACTTAATGTCGTCTTTACTTGTTGTGTCTCTGGTAGCTTTATCAGTTACAATGCAGTAATCCTTGGATCTTCTTTTTGAAGGCCCAGACTTGTTTGCTTCTGGAATAGGTCAGTGTTTATCACGTTTCAGTACTAAGGGTAAATCTCCTCTTTATGCAGCTGATTCTATTTTTTGAGAGAATTTGGACAGCTTGCTGTAAGAGTGCAAATGGAAGAAGCAGGACACTTGAGAGGAAAAAAATATGCAGATGAGAGGTATTCCTGTGGAGAACTGCAAAATGAATGGTCCTTATGACCACATTGTTTTCATTTCTCAGCTCTGGTCTGATGAACGGCTGTTTACTGCCTTGTGTCAGAGACTACTTTCTCATTTTCTGTGCATACCTTCAAACAGTACTAAATGCTTAGATATTGCTACATATTTCATTTTATCAGCCATCCAGCTTTCAGTTTTTCATGGCTCCCATATTGTTGAATGTTACAAAGCATGCAGCTGACAGTGGAAGATTTAATTTCTAAACATTGAGATTTATTTGACCTGGAAACTGATTGGAGACTTTGAATGTAGGTAAAATTTGAACACTACTGTTCAGAGGGGAAAGAAACGCCTGTTAGCCCAGTTAAGTATTCCAGCCATATTTATTCCCATAGAAATGCCAACTTTCTAACCACTGCTGTCATTTCTCATTGATTAATCCTTGGCCATGGTAGTCACGATGTTGGTTCAAGAGAGTGTTTTTTACAGCACTCTGTCAACTTTATCCCAGTGTTTCAGAGAATACCTTAAATCATTTCTCAAGAGACTGACTTTTTCCATCCAAAACAAACAGTAAGGATCAAACTATTTGTTCATGTTCTTTTCTCTTTCTAGTCCTCCCAAGGACTTGCTAGTCCTCCCAAGAGGCTCAGGGATTTTGAATATCCAGTATCTTCATAATTCTGGAGAGTTTCTGGAGATTTCTCCTGCCCATGTCTGTATAATGCTTACTCCCTTATAGCTGTTGCTTTGGCTTAGGAGAGCTGAAGAAATACAGTGATTGCTAATGAGTAAACTTACTTTCTGAACAAGTTGTGCCTTAGGACATGTTCAGAAGCCTTCTTGCAAGGGATATCAAGGTTCCTATGAGACCAGGAAATCACTCCACCTAGGTTTTAAGAAAGGATGTAAGATCTTGGCAAAGGACTATGCTAATTGACACTAAACGCTAAAAATTCTTTGCCTTTTTATATGGGGATGGTGTCATTCATTGGGAAGATAGTTTTGATTCTTTGTATTTTATAGGAAGTGCTAGATATGGAGACCTCGAAATAAAACTGTCCCAATTGAACATCTCACAGCATAGTGAAAGTGAAGGTACCTAAAAGGATTCTAGCCCACTCTGTAAAGACACAAATCACCACTGTGTCACTTCTGAGGATTTTTCCTTTTCCTGAGACTTTATAGAGTTGTGTCTTAAAAACGTGTTAAGTTTTGTTGAACATTTTATTGTACCTGAAACCTTCGGATGTATAGTTGCTTTTTTGCAAAGCACTCATCCTCTTAGATACAGGCCCACTTCTCCAGATGACCTGTGTGAGTGAACAGTGCTGGGACTCTGTCCCCTGCAGTTTGAATGCATGCATGCATGCACAGTCATTCAAAGGAGAAAAAAGAGTTGCTGACAGTAATGGAGTTTCTTTAAAGCACACAAAGAATGTGGCTGGAGTTCTTTACCATTTTATTTTAATAAAAATCAAGCAATGCAAGGAAATTGTTTAGTTTTGAGAGGAAGAGACAGTGGAGTAGGCTCTGTCCTTTTATACCACATATGTTAAGTATGCCAGGGGCTGGGATAGGGATGCTCCTGTTGGAGGCTGAGGGCTCTGTACAGTTTACAGTGGTTAGATTCACATCCATGATGTGTAAACATTTTTAAGAAATACATCTCAAAAACTTTCAGTTACAAGAAGGTTTATTCTTTCTTTATCTGTATTTATTGATTTAGTTAAGTCTTGTCAATGAAGAGGTTGGCAGTCTTTGACTCATTCTAAAGTCTCTAGTCCCAAATTGCAGTTTTGAGGACTCCTTAATGATCTGTCAAAAAGCTTTTCAGTAGGCTATATTCAGATGTGTCTTGATACGCTCAATATGTAGGACAAAATGAAATACTCATTTCAATAATAACTCGTTCTTTTTTGGTTTGTTTTCTGAGTATCTTGAACAGTTAAAACAAGAACAAAATTATCACACTGATATGATCAGTCATTTATATCTGGGATGTATACAAACTGAAGTCAATCAAAAGTTTGGGGTTTTTTTCTAAATGAAAATATTTTCAGTTTGACGAGAACCGAGGCTTTTCCTGTAAACACCAAGAAAGAAAAGGCAAGGCATTTTGCAGAAAGCTCAGGGAGAGCAAAGATGAAAAGGGAGCTGAACTGAGGTGAAATAGGAGCTGCATAATGCAAAAATTACACAATTCTAATGAAATTACTACATTCCCTAACATTTAAAGCTCTCTGAAATAAGCAATATATGCAAGCATTTGCTTGTTGGTTTTGTTTTTTTGAGGAAATGGTGGATTTTTGTGTTACTGAATTTCTTCTACAACTTTTGTGGATTCTGATTGGATGTGGAAGCTGATGTTTATAAAGTTTAGATCATACAATACAGGATGTGCACCATTCTTTGTATTGAAATATGAGGTGTTCTGCCAGTCTACCTTTATCCACAGATAACTGATCTAGTCATGTGAACACAGTCATTTTCTTTCATGGTATCTGTTTAAGAGAAATTTTTACAGGGTCTCTTATATCTCATATATTGCTGGTGTTGGCAGTCTACTTAATTATATTTTATTATATCATGTGGCTTAAACTTACACTTTTCTTTTACAGTTTGGAAGAACAGAAGTAATTGATAATACTTTAAATCCAGATTTTGTAAGAAAATTTATAATGGACTACTTCTTTGAAGAAAGAGAGAATCTACGATTTGATTTGTAAGTTAACAATCTTTGACTCTAATATTGTAGCCTCTGTAAACATATTAAGTTTTGTTCAGCATAAAATTAACTTGAAAAGAGATTAATATCTGTTGATGTGGAATACATTAATAAACGTGATTGATTTAGCATTGCTTCCTCAGAAATAAAAGTGTAACATAATAATGACCAAGTTTTAAGAACCAGTCAAAATACAATCATGCTCATAATCATTACTTTTAGCAAACAGTTAGAAAGCTAAGGATGTCAAAATATTAAAATACTCTTGCAGCATAGCCAGTAAAACATGTAGTGACATACTGTCCGGAAATAAAATATTGTACAAGTAGTACAGAGCTAAAATTTTTACTAAAATAAATGCCAGTATGCATCTAACTATAAGAAACTTTAAGATTTTAAAATGAAAGCAGTTGTTTTAGAAGTAGAAGGCTTTTAACATTATTCCAGAAGTACTCATTTCACTCCACTCTTGAAATTGATTTGATTTTAACTCTATTCTTTGGAAAATAGAATTGAGTCCAGTTACCAGGTCAGCTTGCATGTCATCTGTTATATTTTGTATTATTCTTACTATTTCAGTCTTTGTGATAATCAAGCTTGTCTTGTTCTTTTAATTCTCAACCTCTTTTTTACTAGCAATTCTTCCTAACCTTGCTCTATGAGAAAGCACTTGAATAACCCTCATAGATATTTAAGGGAAAGCCATTCACTTAGTATGTATAGTGGCCACAATTGTTCTTTACATGTCCTTTTTAGTTGAAGAACCCATTCCTTATTTCTTTTTGCTTCCTTTACAAGATGTACTTTAGCTTGAGTTTTGTCAATTCTTATTTTGTGTTCCTCATATTTCTGGCTTCATGTGTATTTCTTTTAGTTTATTTGTTGTTGAGAAAGATTTAGGAGCATTATCTGTTAAGTTACTTACCGAATAAATATATCAGGACAGTGTAGTCTGTCTTCCTCTACTTTCTAATCCTAAACATTGAGGTCTCCTGACATGCTTTATGGAACTGTGACAAATCCTACTCAGGTGTTGAGTACAGTAGTGGTAAGTTGCAGTATTATTACTTCCCAATTTAAAGTTATGTTGCAAGTTTGCCTTGATATAGAAAGAGCATTTATTACATTTCTGTCTTGTAGACAGCAAAACAGATGAAGAAAAACTTCATAATTTGCCTAAAATCTCCTAGCAAGTTCATGGTAAAGCCATTTTTTAAATCTTCAAGGCTTTGGTCTTGAAGTGACTCTGACAGTCTTCATTTAAAAAAAATTTTTCCCCCCTCTGTTTATGGAATGCAAATCAATCTGTACATTAAGCAGGGCATGAAATAAATAGGGCAGTGATCACATTAGTGATCATATTTCCCATAGCAGTGGAAGAAAAAGTATGATGCCTGATAGGTGTATGTTAGCAAAGTTAAAGTTACATGTAATTTTGCTGATTCTGTTTTAAGCTGCCAGCAGGGTGTACTGAAATGCTTTTGAATGGCACTATTTCCTGTATCATGAAAACAAAAAAAGCCCCCATGTCTAACTTTTCTTTAGCTGTAAATGTCTTTTATAGCATGTCAGAATGCTTCTGAAGTTAACAAGAAGTGCTGGAGGGATGAGTGAGGAAAAAGGTTCCAATGTGTTCAGTACACGGATAGCAGCTAGCTGTTTCCATCTGGACTTCAATCATTTCATGGAGTGAAAGGAAATAGTCATTGCCAAGATAGATTACGGGATGCTTCTAGATGGCTAGGTACAAATTATTTCTTCTTCACCATGGAAGCCTGGTGCAGACTTCATTTTTCATTTTACAAATTGGGTTTAATGTCATTAAATCTGCTGAGTGTAACTGTTGCTTGCTATTTAAAATAGTAAGTAAGAGCTAATAACTTTGAAACAAAGGATTCTTCTCCAAGTGTGGGTAAAGAATTACTGAAAGAAAGACACAGTTGGGGCTGTGTAAGAGCCTTGATTTGGTAGCCTTTTACTCCTCATAGGATGCGTGTATGTTACAGGGAGGAGGCAGTATAATAGAAGAGAAGAGCAAAAGAAATGAACCAAGAGAAAACTAGGTTCAGTCTAGGCAAAGAAAGGAAAGTCTTTGAAGAACTTCTGGATAAGTACTATCTGAAAAGGACTTGAACCTGGAAAGGAAAATGCAGTCTTCTGTTTGATTCTTCATGTACTTGGAGAAATGGACTTCTGTTTGTTTATTTACAAAAAACCTGTAAATATCAAACATACTCTGTACTTATCAGAAAGATCTGACTGCTTTCTGCTGCTCTTCTGGATTACTTGGCATAAATCTATCTGGAATTCAAAGCTGAATAACTCATTTTAATGTTTGTCTGCAAGTGACCATATAGCCATAGTCTGTGAATTTACTTTAGAGCCCTATAATAATGGTGATGAGAAATGAAATATTGTAGAACTCGGACTTAAAAATGAGAATCTTGTATATCTACTCATGGATTAAAACTCCAATTTAGACAAGGAAAGAAACATCTTTAGAAAGCTTCTTTTTTTTAAACTCCTCAGCAAAATTGTGTACTACTGTTGGACACAGTGTTATTTTTGAAAGACAGAAACTCCTCATATGATTCATATTTTTTGCAACAAAAAGAAAGCAGTGATTATATCTCTGTTTTCTGGTTTTCTGATAAATTAGCATGAGCCCCTTCCTAAACTGTACAGCCACCAATGTCTCAGACCCCTTTCTGTTTATATTTCATGATTTGTTACTGATTTTGCCAGTGAAGCAATTCTGTTTTAGTTGTGTAGCTAGCCTTCATGTCAAATTGAGAGTTATGTTTTTTTGTTCAATTTCACCCAACAGTATGCAATTACTTTTTGTTATTTAAAAATAACCTCATGTTAGTGATTTCTATAGTCATTCCTTTGTTTACAAACATGTTTCTAAAGTTTTCCATAATCTTGTAATTTGTAATGATTCAATTTGCCTTCTTTACTGGTGACACTTTTATTCGCATTTCTGTGTGTGCATAAATTTTATACATTGAAATAGGTGAAAGAATTGTTTGATTTTTTTGTTTCTTTACATTGTCCTCAGATCTGTCATCTGGAAACTCAGATATAACTTTCCTTTTATTTTTTTTTTTTTTTTAAGTTACGATGTTGACTCAAAGAGTCCCAACCTATCAAAACATGTAAGTTTTTCCTTGCTATTTTGCTTTCTTATGCTAAAATGCTTATGCTTTCCTAAATATGTTTATTTTCATTTGACTGTAAGCAATACCAAATGCATAGACACAAATACAGCATTTGTGCTATGGTTAATAACATATATAATGCTTATGAGTATAATTTTAATGGGACATTCCTCCTGTAAAGGGCATATTTAAGCACACGTGTATACCTCTTCGGATATGAGATATGCTGCATTTTGTTGATACTTCTCTGGGTCCTAAAAGTTATAATAATGTTTTGATTGTGTCCTGATTAATATTAGTAGAAACCTTTTATGCTCATGTTGTCTTGAAGTGGAAGGGATTTAGAGATGCAGCAGTAGAATTCAGAGGCCTCTGAGTGATTTTTATTTTTTTTTTAAAAATAAATACAGGAAGGCTTTGGTAAAAGAACCTTTAGGAACCTGGAGCAAATGAAAAGAGAATAATGGAAGGAATGTTGTGTGTGCTTCACAGTGAAAAGATAAGACTTTTGACCATTGATCTCCAGTTAGATCCTGCCTGTAAAGATCTAAAGCCCCAGGCAAACTCTTTTCCATCTCTGTCATCAAGAAGAGGTGGTCTGAATAACTGCAATGCTAGCTAGGAGGATGCAGAAAATAAAAGTCTTCCCTATACTGTCTTCAGAAAGTTTAAAGCTTCATCCTGGGTTTCTGCCCAAGATCATTTGTACTTCTGTAGTAACTAGTTTATCTGAATTCTTTTATTTTTTCCCCAAACCATATTTCTTTGTACAAAACCTTCATAATTAAGTTTTAAGAAAAAAGACACTAGATAAATCAGTCACTGTGGAAGTGCAAACAAATATATATGCAAATATATAGGCTAGATTTCATTATTTGATTACTGCAACAGTTTGAGGGTCTTGCTGAGCCCATGGAAAAAAAAAGACAAAACAATAACAAACCAGTGTTCGTCTGAAGACTGTTCAAGTAGATCTTAAATTACATATGTGCCTGTTAACATTCTAATTAGTACAAGCTAAGCATACTCAGACACATTAGGTCCTGTTTTTTTAAACAGTGCCAATTTCCTGGAATCTCCAATTGTGGAGGGAAATTTTATTCTTTAGACATTAACATCAATATCAGAAATACATTTCCCTCCATTGTCTTTTAAGAGGAAATCTGTAGAAGCTGGTGTAGACTTTGTGTCTGTGCTGAAGACATCCAAACTACTCCGTATAATATTATGCACATGAAGAAGATGATGGCTCTGAGAACCCTAGGAAGGACGGTAGATAGAAATGTGTTTCTTAACCTTATCAATTAATTTCCATTATTTCCTAAGTGCTTGAGGTTGGTCTGGGTTGTTCCTTTTGCTGACAGCTTCCTGTATTTCTTAAGAGTTTGGGCAGTGAGTAGGTAGGAGGTGATCAGAGCTTTGCTCATATCCATGCACTGGGATCTTGGTGTTTCTGAAAAATGTCAGGCCAAGTAGTATTTGCTAGACTGCTCATAGTCACCTTGTGTAGAATAAGATCTTCCCTGTTCCTAAAAATAGTTGGCCCATTTCTTTGAAATACTGGGCAGTGTTACTTAATAGTTTGGGGAATGAATTTCAGTGACTCAATTTTGGCAAAATGAGAGGTAAATGAAGCAAGTTTTATAATGGCTATATGAACTAACCAGACCAGACAGTGCTGCTGCCATTGTAGCTGTCTGTAATAATGTTCCTAAAACTGTCTATCTGAAGTTAGACTTTCATGTTCATGGTAACTTCCTAATTTAACTAAAAAATAAGAGTAATGAACAACTGTTAATAGCAGACTGTGGAACTAATAGGAATTAATCATAGAAACTCCACCAAAAAAGAAACTAAAAGAAAATTGTGGAATACGTGGTTTCAGTGTAGAAAATGGTGTTATTTTAGACTGTCATGCCTGATGTTTTTAAAAATCAATGAGCTGAGTCTTTTCAGATGAATTTTAGCTATTTTAAAGGACTTAATCTTTATGGAAACAGTGTTGCACTGTCAGATCAGTTAAAGGACATAGTTCAATAAGTTATTTTTGCAGGGTTATTTTCCTCTTCAGTGGAATTAGTTCTCAGATCCAATTTGCTACATGACCGATAACTAACACAGCTTAGAGATGGGAATGAGTGGCCTGAGCTGAGAGAAGTCAGAACTACTTGTACCGATATTCACTACTATACACATTATCATAAAGTAACCGTTTGTTGTATAGGAATTAGTGTCTTGATTCTCATTACTGTTTGTGATCAAATCTCACAATCTATTTATTACTGCCAGTGATGCTAGGAAGAACAGACCTAGCAAGCTCTTTTCACTTGAAAGATAAGGAGTTGGATTGCAGCATAAATTTTTTTTTTTTCAATATACATATAACAGTTTGGAAATCCATTCTTTATTTTATAGTGCTTATGTTACAGAGAGATACAGTATGAATATTAGCTGATTTTTGGTGATATAGTTAAATAATTAAACACAAAAATTAAGTCTGTATTTAAAGCGATGCTTGTGTATAATTGTCAATCCAGGATTCTCATACAGATTCTGCACAGGCATGCATTTCTGCAACATAATTAACTTCAAAGTAATTAATATAATCAGTGTAGAATCTCTTTGTAAAGAGAAATTTATTAAAATGCTTCAGTTAAAAAAGGTAAAATAGTAGTCATGTTTCTAATACTTTTAAAGTTTTTTTCCTTCTCAGTTTCATTTTTGTTGATGAAAAACAATATGTAAACAGTGAGTGCATTAGAATTACTTCTGTAAATGTAACCCAGTGTTATGTAAAATAGGTGAGTCTGGTTTGTGATTAATTATTGAATAGTTACTATTAAAATGCAGTGTTCAGCAGAAGGTGTTCTACAGAAGGTGTTCTACAATAGTGAACAGCCCTGATAAATTGGAAACCAATTTTTTTTTTTTTCAATGTGAAATATGAATTCTGAGTCTTGATGTTACTGCTTTTCAGGATTTTTTGGGACAGATGTTTTGTACACTGGGAGAAATAGTTGGATCACAGGGGAGCAGACTGGAAAAATCAATTGTGTAAGTATGTAATTCTTGAATGTTGGATGAATACATACTGCCTCATGAGGTGAGAGCTGTGGGGTTTTTTTGCTGTGAGATATCTTGATATGCAGAATTGACAGTCATGGCTTCTAAGAGAATAAATTGTTAGGTACAATAAAGTCTTTATAGACGATGATAATGTAGGTTTCTATTTGGACAATTAGCGAAGAAATTGACTCATCGAAAGTTTTTGTCTCTTTCATTACATCTTGAACTAGAAATAGTTTTGAGTATACTAACATTTTAAAAGTTTTTCTTTCTATTCTTAAATATTTGTTTTCTATTCCTAAATAGTGTTTAAGTAATTGAAAATATTTTACAATTTCTATCTAAACCCATGCTATAAATTCACATATGACATTAAAAGCAAACATTTAAAGGTATAGCTGGATATTTTTGATTTTGGTCTTTTGATTGGGATCTTTTGTGGTTTGTTTTTTTTTTTTCTTTTAATAGTAATTGCACTGCAGTGAATGATCATGAATTTGGTTACTCTGTCTGGAGCATTCTTCTCCTCCCATTTTACTGGGTTCATTATGAGTAATATACCAGGGTTACTTCATTTACTTTTCATTGCTGATTTCCTTGTAAGGGCAGATGAATTTTTCAGGTTTAGCAAGACTTATATTATTCTAGGCCAGACTTTGGGGAAAATACCACACAGGGCACATATTCTGACTTTGTATTCATATAACAAGAACCAGGATCTGGATGAACTAAAATTGTCAGAATTTAGAATGTAATTAGATACTATTTAAGTATAATTGCAAATGAAAAAAGGCTCTCAAATCCACTTATATTAATGATGCAAAACTAATCTAATGTAAAATTCTTAAGAAATATGTTCCTAGCTGTACATTTTTTTCTATGTATATATTTGATGTAGTTAACCATTTCTGTTACTCAGGTGACCCTTTTAAGTTTAAGTAATAGCTTTGAAGTCCTGGAAAAAGTCTCAGGGGTCAGTATTTTGTTATCAGTGTCCAAAATGGACCAGTAGTAGCCCTTTTCCCTAGATTTTATTAGAGACTTTTTTCTTGTTTCTGTAAAGAACTTAATGTCATTGATAAAATAATTTTTAAAAACTATTTCTCTAGTTTATATCAAACAACATGGTGATGTTCTGTGGAGGTGGCCCTAAACTTTTCATTGTGGTGAAAACAGCGGCCAGCTTCAAGGGGACTCACATATGATAGCTATCATTTTCTCTTTTAAGAACTTTGAAGTGTTGAGCTGTCATGAGTTTTTAAACTCGAAAACTCTTGTCAATACTTGAGTCCAATTAAATTATTAAATTTTTACAATTCCAATATAAGCATAAACTTGGAAAAGCATCTGAAATTTCATATTTCCATGCCCAAAATAATTTCATATTGTCTCTAGAACTCTTCCTGGGTGAAATAACAGTTCAGAACAGATCATTTAAATTGATAAACCAAAAGAGAATTTACTTAGTTTTCCTTTAATTTAATCTAAGGGTCCTTATGAAATCATAAAAACTTTAAAATAAAGTAAAATATTTCAATTACAAAATCTATCGTAAAGTTCCTTTAATTACATTTTAAGTTTAGAAAATATTTTAATGGGATTTAATCTACTTGAATTTCTGAGATTTATGCATACCTGAAACAAATCCTATTGAATCCTAAATGTCAGGGTTTGGCTAGTACTTCTTTGTGGGGAGGCATTCCTGTAATTATGGCCTTGACTAGATTCTGTCTGTAAACGTCTTCCAATCATTTGGGTTTTGTACAAAGGCAAATTTCAGCTCTTCAGTAGTACTCATCATACCATTCATGCTGAAAAATCAAGTAACATCAAAAAACTTAGTCTTTGCAAAACAATTTCACAGTGTTTTACCAAAATAAGCCTTTGACTTAGTTTCCCTAATTTACAGACAACTGCAGATGATTCAAATTGATCTGTAACAAATGTAAGCGGTTCGTTCTCTTGCTGAGTTCCATGAGTGCTTATGGTGGCTTGACCCTGACTGGATGCCAGGGTCCCACCAAAACTGTTCTATCACTTCCTCCCTCGGCTGGATAGGGGAGAGAAAATACGTAACAAAAATCTTGTGGGTTGAGATAAGGACAGGGGGAGATCATTCACCAAAACTGTCATGGGCAAACCAGACTCCTCTTGGGGAAAAATTAATTTATTACCAATCAAATCAGAGTGGGATAATAGAAGTAAAAGCAAATCATAAAAACTCCACCCCCCCAGCCCTCCCTTCTTCCTGGGCTTAAATTTACTCCCTATTTTCTTTACCTCCCCTCCCCCAGTGGCACAGGGGATGGGGAATGGTGATTGCAGTCAGTTCATCACACATTTCTGCCGCTCCTAACTCCTCAAGGGGACGACTCTTCACTCTTGCCCCCTGCTTCAGTGTGGGGTCGCTCCATGGGAGGCAGTCCACCATGAGCTTCTCCAACGTGGGCCCATCCCCTGGGCTGCAGTTTTTCAAGAACTGCCCCAGTATGGCTCCCTTCCACAAGGTGCAGCCCTTCAGGCACAGGCTGCTCCAGCGTGGGTCCCCCGCGGGGCCACAAGTCCTGCCAGAAACCTGCTCCAGCGTGGGCTCCTCTCCCCACGGGGCCACAGGTGCTGCCAGGAGCCTGCTCCAGCGTGGGCTTCCCACAGCCACAGCCTCCTTGGGGCACCCCCTGCTCCAGTGTGGGGCCCTCCCCGGGCTGCAGGTGGAGATCTGCTCCTCCGTTCCCCTCCCTGGGCGCAGGGCACAGCTGCCTCCCCATGGGCTGCCCACGGGCTGGGGGGAACCTCTGCTCCGGGCCTGGAGCACCTCCTGCCCTCCTGCTTCACTCACCCGGGGGCTGCAGGGTTGTTTCTCTCACATATTCTCACTCCTCTCTCTGGTTACAGTTTTCTCTTCATTTTTTTTTTCTCCCCTTCTTACATATGTTATCCCAGAGGCACTAACACCATCGCTGATGGGCTCAGCCTTGGCCAGCAGCGGGTCCACCTTGCAGCTGGCTGGCATTGGCTCTATTGGACATGGGGGAAGCTTCTAGCAGCTTCTCACAGAAGCAACTCCTGTAGCCCCACCACCACCAAAACCCTATCATACAAACCCAATACAGTGCTGTGATCATTACTGCTGCAACATCCTTTAACAATATGGTTCATACTCTCCTTAATATTCAGAACTGAGGTCAGTAATAAATGCATTTTGCTGAATTTTGAGGGGTTAGAAATACAGTTCAGTCATCTGATTACTGTATTTACAGTAATCGTTCCTGCCCCTCTGCAGCCTCTCCTGCCCTCCTCACCCTTCCCCCCCCAAGGACCATACCAGTACTTTTTATATTCTTTATTTTTGAATCAAGGGCTTAATTTTCCTATACATAAACAGTTCTATTAATATCACTACATGTTCCATATTATTTTCCTTCTCTGTATTGGTGGGACTATGCACACTGAGAACTACTTCATTTTAAGGGTAAATAAATTCTTCAACTCTGCAGGTTAGGAAGGTTTCAGTATCTGCAGCATAATTCAGGAAGACTCTTATGAACAGGCTACTTAAACTTAAAACTTAAACTATGCTAACAGTAACATAGTATGCTAGAAGTAACACTGCTTCACTGTATCACTTCCTTAAATAACTTGAAAAGCTACCCAGGAAGAGGTACTGTAAAACTGTGTGACGTTCTGTTGTCATCAAAGTTTTCAGATGAACCGTAAGATGTCTTTCAATTTCAGTAGTTCATCACAAGTTGTCTGCAATGAGAGATGTTGTCTAAAACTTAACACTAAAATCAAAAGGAAAAAAAACTCCAACCAAAAAAAACACACCAAAAAACAGCCCCCCAAAACCCTAAAATTGACTGCATCAGTATTATGAGTGTTAAATTACTGTTTAATAGATTATCACTACTGTGGAACACTAGAAAACTGCTAAATGTAGTCTAGCTCCTTCATAAAACCCCTGCATAAACAGTGAAGAATCAGCTGATCAGAGTATCACATTTCTAATAGAGTCATACGAAATCATTAACTTCAGCAAATATTGCCATTATCAGACACCAGTGTTTTGTGATTCTCTGCTTAATCCCATCCTGGGTATTAAACTTTTAAAACCTTGTCCAGGAAATAGTCTTGAGGACAAATATAGTAAGTAATATAATAGGTGTACTAGGTTCTGGTATTAAAAACACTTGTCTGCAAATGAAGAATGAGAGGCACAATGGCAGGTGGGGGAGCCCAAATAATACCTTGCCCTGGCTGCTTGCAGACCCATCAGCCCACTGAAGTCCCAACTCCAGACCCACAAAGGAGCACAGAGTTACAGGCAGGTGAGGGAACTCCAATAACGAAATTAGAGAAACAGACCCAGCCCACCAGGGCTGTCCCAGAAGAGCCTCAGCACCACACACTCTCTGCTTGTTCTGGACATGGTTTCAGTTCTAGATGGTGCGCAGGCTGTTTGCAGCATGTGACTGTCTGCTTGAGCACACCAACACTATCCTGTCAATTGGGACAAGAGATTGCCCCCATTTTGTTTATTTCCACTAAAACAAAAGTTCACTAACTTTTCACTGTCTAGTTCTAACTTATGCTAACTGCCACAGTGAATTGCAACTCCACTGACTTTTTTGACTAGTTGTTAGTTGACTCTAATGGAAGCCTTTTGTGACATGGTCAGAGAAGGGTGCTGACTTTGAATACACCCATATTTAGTAAGACAAATCTTGCTGACTTCTTGAAGGCCTCTATAGTTCTTTCTGGTTTTAAAGTGATAAATTATTCATCATGCCACACTTTTTTTTTTTCTGAGAAAATTCCTGAAATTTATTTTAAACATTTAGATTAAAAATCATCCATTAAGCAGTTTATTATCACTTGGTACAGGTTAAGTGAGGTCTGAAGTAAGTAACAGCTGAAGTTTAATGTTTGGGATTAGCTATGAGAAAAATCAATGAAGTTTCTATGGGGGGAAAAAAGGTCTTATTATTTCA